CCTATAGGCTAGGACCACCGATAAATGTACGATAATCGAGAATTTCAATAAGCATTTTGCTACGGCTGGCCATGCTTTCCACCTGGCTACCCCTACCCCGGCTCTGCACCCTCCGCTTCAACTTGCACATGCCCCCCCCCCGCTTCTCCTTCACCCAAATTCAGATAGCTGATGTCCTGAAAGAGCTGCTAAATCTGGACCCCTACAAATCAGCTGGGCTAGAAAATCTGGACCCTTTCTTTCTAAAGTTAGCCGCCGAAATTGTCACAACCCCTATTACTAGCCTGTTCAACCTCTCTTTCGTATCGTCTGAGATCCCCAGAGATTAGAAAGCTGCCGCGGTCATCCCCCTCTTCAAAGGGGGTGACACTCTAGATCCAAACTGTTACAGACCTACAGTGGGGAGAACAAGTATTTGATACACTGCCGATTTTGCAGGTTTTCCTACTTACAAAGCATGTAGAGGTCTGTAATTTTTATCATAGGTACACTTCAACTGTGAGAAACGGAATCTAAAACAAAAATCCAGAAAATCACATTGTGTGATTTTTAAGTAATTTATTTGCATTTTATTGCATGACATAAGTATTTGATACACCAGAAAAGCAGAACTTAATATTTGGTACAGAAACCTTTGTTCGCAATTACAGAGATCATACGTTTCCTGTAGGTCTTGACCAAGTTTGCACACACTGTAGCAGGGATTTTGGCCCACTCCTCCATACAGACCTTCTCCAGATCCTTCAGGTTTCGGGGCTGTCGCTGGGCAATACAGACTTTCAGCTCCCTCCAAAGATTTTCTATTGGGTTCAGGTCTGGAGACTGGCTAGGCCACTCCAGGACCTTGAGATGCTTCTTACGGAGCCACTCCTTAGTTGCCCTGGCTGTGTGTTTCGGGTCGTTGTCATGCTGGAAGATCCCTCAGTAAGAGCATTGAAGATGGATCGTGGCTGGAAGGAGGTTGTTGGCCAAGATCTCGCGATACATGGCCCCATCCATCCTCCCCTCAATACGGTGCAGTCGTCCTGTCCCCTTTGCAGAAAAGCATCCCCAAAGAATGATGTTTCCACCTCCATTCTTCACGGTTGGGATGGTGTTCTTGGGGTTGTACTCATCCTTCTTCCTCCAAACACGGCAAGTGGAGTTTAGACCAAAAAGCTCTATTTTTGTCTCATCAGACCACATGACCTTCTCCCATTCCTCCTCTGGATCATCCAGATGGTCATTGGCAAACTTCAGACGTGCCAGGACATGCGCTGGCTTGAGCAGGGGGACCTTGCGTGCGCTGCAGGATTTTAATTCATGACGACGTAGTGTGTTACTAATGGTTTTCTTTGAGACTGTGGTCCCAGCTCTCTTCAGGTCATTGACCAGGTCCTGCCGTGTAGTTCTGGGCTGATCCCTCACCTTCCTCATGATCATTGATGCCCCACGAGGTGAGATCTTGCATGGAGCCCCAGACCGAGGGTGATTGACCGTCATCTTGAACTTCTTCCATTTTCTAATAATTGCGCCAACAGTTGTTGCCTTCTCACCAAGCTGCTTGCCTATTGTCCTGTAGCCCATCCCAGCCTTGTGCAGGTCTACAATTTTATCCCCGAGGTCCTTACACAGCTCTCTGGTCTTGGCCATTGCGGAGAGGTTGGAGTCTGTTTGATTGAGTGTGTGGACAGGTGTCTTTTATACAGGTAACGAGTTCAAACAGGTGCAGTTAATACAGGTAATGAGTGGAGAACAGGAGGGCTTCTTAAAGAAAACCTAACAGGTCTGTGAGAGCCGGAATTCTTACTGGTTGGTAGGTGATCAAATACTTATGTCATGCAATAAAATGCAAATGAATTACTTAAAAATCATTCAATGTGATTTTCTGGATTTTTGTTTTAGATTCCGTCTCTCACAGTTGAAGTGTACCTATGATAACAATTACAGACCTCTACATGCTTTGTAAGTAGGAAAACCTGCAAAATCGGCAGTGTATCAAATACTTGTTCTCCCCACTGTATATCCATCCTGCCCTGCCTTTCCAAAGTATTTGAAAGCCAAGTTAACAAACAGATCACCGACCATTTTGAATCCCACCGTACCTTCTCCGCTATGCAATCTGGTTTCCGAGCTGGTCATGGGTGCACCTCAGCCACGCTCAAGGTCCTAAAAGATATAATAACCGCGATCGATAAAAGACAGTACTGTGCAGCCGTCTTCATCGACCTGGCCAAGGCTTTTGACTCTGTCAATCACCGCATTCTTATTGGCAGACTAAATAGCCTTGGTTTCTCAAATGACTGACTCGCCTGGTTCACCAACTACTTCTCAGATAGAGTTCAATGTGTCAAATCGCAGGGCCTGTTGTCTGGACCTCTGGCAGTCTCTATGGGGGTGCCACAGGGTTCAATTCTCAGGCCGACTCTATTCTCTGTGTATATCAATGATGTCGCTCTTGCTGCTGGTGACTCTCAGATCTACCTCGACGCAGACGACACCATTTTGTATACATCTGGCCCTTCATTGGACACTGTGTTAACAAACTTCCAAACAAGCTTCAATGCCATACAACACTCCTTCCCGTGGCCTCCAACTGCTCTTAAACGCTAGTAAAACTAAATGCATGCTCTTCAATCGAACGCTGCTTGCACCTGCCCGCCAGACTAGAATCACTACTCTCGGCGGGTCTGACTTAGAAATACCTAGGTGTCTGGTTAGACCGTAAACTCTCCTTCCAGACTCACATTAAGCATCTCCAATCCAAAGTTAAATCTAGAATCGGCTTCCTATTTCGCAACAAAGCCTCCTTCACTCATGCTGCTAAACATGCCCTCGTAAAACTGACTATCCTACTGATCCTTGACTTCAGCGATGTCATTTACAATATAGCTTCCAACACTCTACTCAGCAAATTGGATGAAGTCTATCACAGTGCCATCCGTTTTGTCACCAAAGCCCCATATACTACCCACCATTGTGACCTGTACGCTCTCGTTGGCTGGCCCTCACTACATATTCGTCGCCAAACCCACTGGCTCCAGGTCATCTATAAATCACTTCTAGGCAAATCCCCGCCTTATCTTAGATCATTGGTCACCATAGCAACATCCACCTGTAGTATGCGTTCCAGCAGGTATCTCTCACTGGTAATCCCCAAAGCCAACACCTCCTTTGGCCGTTCCTTCCAGTTCTCTGCTGCAAATGACTGGAACGAACTGCAAAAATCTCTGAAGCTGGAGACACTTATCTCCCTCACTAACTTTAAGCATCAGTTGTCAGAGCAGCTTACCGATCACTGCACCTGTACACAGCCCATCTGTAATCAGCCCACCCAACTACCTCATCCCCATATTGTTATTTATTTTGCTCATTTGCACCCCAGTATCTCTATTTGCACATCATCTTCTGCACATCTATCACTCCAGTTTTAATACTAAATTGTAATTATTTTGCACTATGGCCTATTTATTGCCTTACCTCCATAACTTACTACATTTGCACACACTGTATATAGATTTTCTATTGTGTTATTGACTGTACGTTTTGTTTATTCCATATGTAACTCTGTGTTGTTGTTGTTTTTAATCGCACTGCTTTGCTTTATCTTGGCCAGGTCGTGGTTGTAAATGAGAACTTGTTCTCAACTGGCTTACCTGGTTAAATAAAGGTGAAATAAAAATAAATAAATAAAAAAGGCTATGCTTAGTTATTTGGCCACTTTAGGTGTGATACGAACCTTATCAAAACATATAGGCCTATGGGCTAGGCTACATGTGACTATGATTGGAAAAAGTTGCACAAAGAAAATCTTGCCTTAGACTGCACACGCTGGGCATCATTCACAAGTGATGATAATAATATTCTCACCCATTAGACTATTGTCAATTTAATCTTGTCTTTACATATACCAAATAATATGTGTGAAATTAGTTTTGATTTAGAACGGGCCATTATCAAGCACCTGTCGGAACAGGCGCAGGGGAAAAAATACATGATCCATATGCACTTGAACAGCGAATGGAGGACACTTTTCCCGCGGTTCATTTTCATGCCAGCCAGGTAGGCTACTCCGGTTGTAAAGCGAAGCAATGTGCTTAATATTAGGAAAGTTGAGAAATAAATATAGTAAGCCTAGCCTATTGAAAGCTGATTGGATCCTCTTTTTAATAGAGACCATCAAAACTCTGTTCTCACGTAATTGCATAGCCTATAGAAATGTTGCGCCACATGGGCTTATAGGAACACTTATTTAATTCCATGCATCACCCAGCTATGAGGAGCTGGCTCTCGCTGCCCAACAGGTGATCATATTCTGCTCAAACTGAATGCCAGGGCTCTCATGAAGTGTGTGATTAGATATTCGATTGCATTTGCAGCGATGTCAGAGTGATTAGAGGGACAGAACACTGAGTACCACGGCATTAGCAACTGGCCGTTAGCAAGTTTGGTAGGCTACGAATGAGCACCAGCGCCATCAGAGCACAGTTTTGGAGAAGCCTAGTTACTGTGACTCGACAGTCACATAGAATTTGACTGCGGTCATAACTCGTGACTGCCGGTGTAGCGGTAATACGGTCAATGTAACAGCCCTAATCAGGGCCCAGTTTATCATAACTTCTGAAAAACTGGGTCCAGAGGTGAATGGCAGATCTATTTGTACCAGATCTATGGAGAACCAGGCAGGAGAACTGAACACATTGAAAGAATGAGATAGGAAGTATGAGGCCACCCACTGGACAAACTGTGGATATGTATTATGTTTCTGACAATGGTGAATCAGATGATGGAAATACCTTGTGCACAAAATGTGTCCCTCTTGCTCAAAGAGGAAAAGCACTGTAAACTAATTCACCGTAACTATATATTTTTTTTTATCTATCGTGCTAGTTATGGGACAAGCAGAGCTAACAGGCTCTCAAAAACATCCAATGTCAAATACTGTACCAGCATTCTCAAAAATGTAATTACTACAGATACAGCAGGCTTTTCCACTGTCTGAGCGTGATAAGTTAGCTTACATTTTCGATGGCACAGCTGACAGGCAAGGGAAGGGTGGTTCTCTTACTTACCAGGTATAGTAGGAAGGTATGTAGGCCAGTTCCAAGGCCTACTGAGGACAGGATGCCCAAACCTACCCAGTAGGCACACCACAGGAACCTCTTCTCCAGGTACTGCACATACTGCAGAGGAGAACAGACAGGAGGGGGAGAGAGAAGTAGAGAGCGCATAAGGCTTTTGCATGGACAAAGATAGCCATAACATACAACTTCACAAGACATTTATCCTTTAGAGAGAACAATGGAGACCTATGTTATGCCAAGGATAGTGGTGGAAGAAGAGGAAATGTCAACGCTTTACACCACAATATCAACATATAAGCTAAGATACATCCAATGTACTGGCCTGAGCCTCAAGTAAAAAAAAGTTTATAGCACAACACATCTCCTCAGGTGACCTTTCCTCTAGGAATGCAGTGTATCTGAATGAACAGTTACTTATCTTTAACCATTAAAATCCCAAAATAAATAAATTACAGAGGAGGTGATAGGGGTTTCTGTTTCTCTCCTTCCTTACCTTCTGGTGTGCTCCCTCGGTGGAGTAGGCAAGGGAGAACAGTGAACACAATACCAGGAACAAGAACACTGTACCCCTTTGTCGCCATAACCTGCAGAGGGGAAGAAGTGGAACAGTTTATTATTAGGTACAACTACCTAATGACTAGACTGGCAGACTGTTACTGTAAACACAACAGAACTGAGAAAGCTTTCAACTGATCAGTTGGTTTCTAGTTTTACTGTCAAGTAGTGGTTTACTTTAATGTCCACTCCTTTAGTATGATGAAGGTTTCCAGGAGGAAGTAGTGTAGTGTGACGATAGGCCGCCTCCACAGCACCAGAGCGAGACGCTCCTCCCGATCTTTCTGCCTCCTCTCACTGACCGCAGAGTCTGCAGATACAGAGCACACTCGTGAGGTCATATTAACCTATAAAATGGGCTAGTATCAAAAAAGCTACTGCAATATCCCCTTATTTTGCTGGACATACGCTATCATGTGCCTTTGACAAAGTCATGTCACTTTGTCTAGGCCTAAATAGGAACATAAAACTAGCAATTGGTGGCGTTCTCTAGTCTAGACCTTTGAATGAAGTATAATTATTTAGTAGTTTCTAAACTATGGAATAAAGCAGTACGCAACAGTTTGGACCATTCTGGCAATACTGGAATGTTGTAAGAAGAATTGCCAAGATAATGTTTGCAGTTTCTGCATACCAATAGCAACACTTCTCCTTCCTTGGTAAAATTGTTTATCTGTTCTCCATAAACAGCCTAATGCTGGTTCACTTGGAGAAGTTTCAAAACCGACCTGCAAAATGTCCATTCTGTTTGTCTTTGGTTCCTCGCTTCTGTGGTTGTTCACAGCTTGCCCCATTCGTTGCCATCTCATTCACTTTTGAATCGACCAGACAACCTGAGGACATGACCAGCAAATACGTTTTTTAGGGTTTTGCCTCTTATCAACTGTAGGAAGAGCATTAGTTGGTTATTGATTGTCACTGACTGACAGCTAGTGGCAACATCTCCCACACGCTAACGTTAGCTAACTAACCGGTATGCAAGCTAACAAAAAGCTGATGGCAAGTAACCCTTATTCATGACTCCAACTCCATTGGATTACATTGACCGGCTGTGTAAACCACCTTGGGTTCTCGAGAACTAACTTAGCTAGCAAGTAAAGTGTGTAATAGCTAGCTAGCTGGCTGGCGTGAGTTTATAAAAACATAACTAGTTAGCTACAATTAATTGTTCAATGTTTATGACTATGAATTACGAATTATAAACTACAGTAACCTATTGCGTGTTGACGTCGCTAGTTAGCAAGGTAGCTAGCTAGCTATGCTAAGTAGCTAGTTAGTGACACTGGGAAAATATAGGCTACAACAACCACGGAAATATGTTTGGATCAAGTTACTTCAGTTGTTGTCTTGAGACGTAAATGACTATAATACCAAAACTATTTTCACAGTCGAAAATGTTACATATTATAGGCAAAAATGTATTTGTTAGTCACACAAATTAAATAAATGAACTCATACCTCAAAGCGTCTTCTTCCCGGAGACGTGGCAATCACTTCCGGGCAAAATATTTCCTTCTAAGTAAAGGTCCCCCTTTACATCATTTTATATTCATCAATATTGAATTGGTTTGTGTTTATTCATAAGTGATAATTGCATTACAGTTTATTTTATAAATGTTTTATGTTGTGCCCATGAACGTAGAGTTGAATCTAGCCTTTGATCATGACTCCAAGTTCCATTACATTACACATAAAAGTAATTGGACAAAGGTTTGGACCTCTTCTGTAAGGGGGAGTTTTGTTAAGAGCACCGAGGCTCGGTCTTAACATTAACCTGCATCGTTTGCGGTATGCTTTTGGAAGCAGAAGGACCTTATCTTTCATATCAGCGAGAAATAATTTTCAAAAAACAGTTAAATTGATACACACCTCTATAGGGTTAGGGTTCCCACACAGCCATATCTCCATGTTACAGGTCGTGTTCATGGGAGACAGAGGGACCACCTGTGCTAATTAGCCATCTAGCATGCTCTGTACACCTGTGTGTAACAGAAGGCCGCCAGAAACGTGTTGTCAATGAAAAATACTGTTGGCTGCAACTGTGATAAAGCGGTTTAAAACAGTGTACAGTAAGTGTATAGTTTGCATTTGTGAAATTATTTTGTGATATTAACATAAAGGGCGTTATGTTTCTAGAACCGTATCGCAATTGAGAATCGATTCACGTTTGATGGAGTATTTGGCTGTTTTGGCTGCCAGAGCCAGTCTACCTCGGCAAAAAACATATTTGGACCTTAAGGAGTAAGGGTAGGCTCCTTAAGAGTTAATCTTGGGCTAGGTTGAATCTAGAGGCATGGACTCACCATATTAACAGTATAGCATGATCATTGGCAGGATATTGATTAACCCCTCACATTGTTCACAGGTTTTAGGTTGTTCAAAACAAAATGCACAGGGAATCGTTAATCACAATACTTGTTTTCAGTATTTAATGACTGCACCTGCAGAATCCCATCCTAAAATCTATGACTTTTAAGATGTGTATTCAGATTTCCCCTTATAGAAAATCTCTTCCCACACTTGTAGCACTGGTGAGGTTTTTCGCCAGTGTGAGTAAGTGTGTGTCTCTTAAGGCCTCTTGCCGTAGTAAAACGTTTTGTGCACAGGGTGCAGGGGTATGGACGCTCTCCTGTGTGAGATCGCATATGAAGTGTTAGATGGCATGATGCTTTGAAGCCCTTTCCACAACGTTTACAGGTGTAGGGACATTCTCCTGTGTGCGATCGTGTATGCAGCCGCAGTTCTCCTGAGCTAAGGAATGCCTTACCACAGATGCTACATAAATAGTTTTTCTCCCCTGCATGCATCCGCATGTGTCTTGCTAGATGTTGGACAGATGTTTTCCCACAAATAGTGCAACAGTAGGGACGCTCCCCAGTGTGTGTGCGCACATGCCATTTGAGTGAACCTGCACACATGAATCTTCGGTCACAGTGAGAGCATTTGAATGGTCTTTCCCCTGTGTGAACTCGCTGATGTTTTTTCAGACCACACCTGGAAGAAAATCTTTTCTCACATTGGTTACAATGGAATGGCAATGTGTGAATTCCTATATGTACTTTCAGGGTTTTGGAGCATTTGAAAACCTTCCCACAATGAGTGCATTTGTGAGTCTTGATTGTTGGCGCATAGGGGATTATTTTAGTGCTGCTTGAGGGAAAGGGGTTATCAGTCCCAGATTCCTTAGCACATAAAAGCTTCCGGTCCTCTCCTCGATGCCTAATCCTGATGTGCTGGTGGAGTTTTGCAATTTCACTATGAGAGAATGGGCAGAGGGAGCAGGCGAGGACCTGGGATGACATGTCACTATTCAATCCTGCAATGACAAGATCAGGAGTGTAGATTGTATAACAGGTGATGTTATCAATCATTTGTTAACATGAGATCAGTATTTAAATTCCCTTACCGTTACTGGGCACTGGGATACACAGAGCAGAAGTCTCTGCCGTTGAAATGCCCATCTGCTCCTGTTGCTCCAAATCCTGCCTTGTATAACTTATTTCATTGCAGTCTTCATCACTCTGTCGATCTTCCATTTCCTCTTCTTCCTCATCCTCCACTCTGCCCCCATTAGGTTGTCCTCCATCTCTCGTTTTGTCAGAGCTGGCCTGCTCAGAGCCAATGACAACTCTTATTGTTGGAGGGAGGGACAGTGTGGACAGGATGGTATCTGCAGTGTAGTAAGAGAAATAACCTACGAAAGACAGCACAAGTTATACAAACAAGTTACTCTTGCTATATTTTTCAGCACTGTTTTCCTTACCATTACAGCTAAAATGATTGCAACTGACTGGCTGTGTAGTCCAACTCTGAACACCAGCATTATCAAGTTCAAATGACAGGAGTTTGGTTTGCTCTGGATGGAGACTTACTCTTTTTCAGGTTTCCATGATGCTGATGGTGCTGCAGAAGTGTCTTCAGCTCTTCAGGGTCAAAGATGGCGTGTCCACATTCCTCCATGACAGAGGGGCCTGCACCGAGCCATGCTGCTGTCTGAGGAGCAGGGGAATATAGTGTTAAAATACACTATGCCAGACACCTGATGTTTTACACACATGGAAATACCTAAAATGTAATATACACTGCTCAAAAAAATAAAGGGAACACTTAAACAACACAATGTAACTACAAGTCAATCACAATTCTGTGAAATCAAAATGTCCACTTAGGAAGCAACACTGATTGACAATACATTTCACATGCTGTTGTGCAAATGGAATAGACAACAGGTGGAAATTATAGGCAATTAGCAAGACACCCCCAATAAAGGAGTGGTTCTGCAGGTGGTGACCACAGACCACTTCTCAGTTCCTATGCTTCCTGGCTGATGTTTTGGTCACCACTCTAGTGGTAGCATGAGACGGAGTCTACAACCCACACAAGTGGCTCAGGTAGTGCAGCTCATCCAGGATGGCACATCAATGCGAGCTGTGGCAAGAAGGTTTGCTGTGTCTGTCAGCGTAGTGTCTAGAGCATGGAGGCGCTACCAGGAGACAGGCCAGTACATCAGGAGACGTGGAGGAGGCCGTAGGAGGGCAACAACCCTTTGTGCAAGGAGGAGCACTGCCAGAGCCCTGAAAAATGACCTCCAGCAGGCCACAAATGTGCATGTGTCTGCTCAAACGGTCAGAAACAGACTCCATGAGGGTGGTATGAGGGCCCGACGTCCACAGGTGGGCGTTGTGCTTACAGCCCAACACCGTGCAGGACGTTTGGCATTTGCCAGAGAACACCAAGATTGGCAAATTCGCCACTGGCGCCCTGTGCTCTTCACAGATGAAAGCAGGTTCACACTGAGCACATGTGACAGACGTGACAGAGTCTGGAGACGCCGTGGAGAACGTTCTGCTGCCTGCAACATCCTCCAGCATGACCGGTTTGGCGGTGGGTCAGTCATGGTGTGGGGTGGCATTTCTTTGGGGGGCCGCACAGCCCTCCATGACTGCCATTAGGTACCGAGATGAGATCCTCAGACCCCTTGTGAGACCATATGCTGGTGCGGTTGGCCCTGGGTTCCTCCTAATGCAAGACAATGCTAGACCTCATGTGGCTGGAGTGTGTCAGCAGTTCCTGCAAGAGGAAGGCATTGATGCTATGGACTGGCCCGCCCGTTCCCCAGACCTGAATCCAATTGAGCACATCTGGGACATCATGTCTCGCTCCATCCACCAACGCCATGTTGCACCACAGACTGTCCAGGAGTTGGCGGATGCTTTAGTCCAGGTCTGGGAGGAGATCCCTCAGGAGACCATCCACCACCTCATCAGGAGCATGCCCAGGCGTTGTAGGGAGGTCATACAGGCACGTGGAGGCCACACACACTACTGAGCCTCCTTTTGACTTGTTTTAAGGACATTACATCAACGTTGGATCAGCCTGTAGTGTGGTTTTCCACTTTAATTTTGAGTGTGACCCCAAATCCAGACCTCCATGGGTTGATAAATTTGATTTCCATTGATAATTTTTGTGTGATTTTGTTGTCAGCACATTCAGCTATGTAAAGAAAAAAGTATTTAATAAGATTATTTCATTCATTCAGATCTAGGATGTGTTATTTTAGTGTTCCCTTAATTTTTTTTTGCAGTGTAGTGTTTTCCATTCAGTTGTACTCTGGCCATCTTTGTAAGAGAGCAAACAATTTTTTGGGCATAACACCTAGTGTAGACTAAAGGGATCAAACTCATACTGTGATGTTTCAATCTGTACCTGTGTGAAGTCTGGTACAGGAAGCAGCTCCTCCAGTCTGGAGAGGAACTCCCATACCAGTACCTGCAGTGCTGTGTCATACCGAGGGCCGTAGTGTACTGGGAACACCTCCTGAAAAATGTATAATTTATGACAAAGTCCTGTGCCAATGCTGATACAAGCAATAGGCACCTGAAAGTCACGAACCAGAAATATCTCTTACCTGGAAGAAGTGCTCCCTCTCAGAAGGGTCTTCCAGCAGGGTTTGGACCAACTCCACAAAGTTAGACTCTGTAGCCTCCAACTCATCATCATTACTCTGTCAGTAAGCATAAACAAACAAAACGAATTACGTCAGACATGAACTCAACCTCAACATAAGGCTGAAAACGTTCATATTTCCTTCAAATATCACTTTAAAATGTTGCCAAAATAAGTTAAACGTACCTCTTTGTGTACAGAGAATTCTGTCAAATAATGGATTTTATCCAGGTGAGGCTGGATGGTTACGAGGTCAGCTGTGCTATCATTGCGACATAACTCCAGAACCAGCTGAAAAAGAGGTTGACGTGAGGCAGCACCAGGGTAAAACATACTACACTGAACAAAAATATAAACACAACATGTAAAGTGTTGGTCCCATGTTTCATGAGCTGAAATAAAAGATCCCAGAAGTTTTCCATACACACAAAAAGCTTATTTCTCTCAAATGTTGAGCACAAACGTGTTACATCCCTGTTAGTGAGCATGTCTCCTTTGCCAAGATAACCCATCCACCTGACAGGTGTGGCATATCAAGAAGTGGATTAAACAGCATGATCATTACACAGGTGCACCTTGTTCTGGGGACAATAAAAGGCCACTAAAATGTGCAGTTTTGTCACACAACACAATGCCACAGATGTCTCAAGTTTTGAGGGAGTGTGCAATTGGCATGTTGACTGCAGGAATGTTCACCAGAGCTGTTGCCAGAGAATTGAATGTTCATTTCTCTACCATGAGCCGCCTCCAATGTCATTTTAGAGAATAGCCACCCGGACAGCTGATGAAACTGTGGGTTTGCACAACCAGAGAATTTCTGCACAAACTGTTAGAAACCGTCTCAGGGAAGCTCATCTGTGTCCTCACCAGTCTTGACCTGACTGCAGATCGGCGTCGTAACCGACTTCAGTGGGCAAATGCTCACCTTTGATGGTCACTAGCATGCTGGAAAAGTGTGCTCTTCACGGATTAATCCCAGTTTCAACTACACCGGGCAGATGGCATCGTGTGGGTGAGCGGTTTGCTGATGTCAGCGTTGTGAACAGAGTGCCCCATGGTGGCAGTGGGGTTATGGTATGGGCAGCCATAAGCTACAGACAACAAACACAATTGCATTTTATCGATGGCAATTTCAATGCACAGAGATACCGTGACGAGATCCTGAGGCCCATTGTCATGCCATTCATCCGCCGCCATCACCTCATGTTTCAGCATGATAATGCTGTACACAATTCCTGGAAGATGAAAATGTCACAGTTCATCCATGGCCTGCATACTCACCAGACATGTCACCCATTGAGCATGTATGCGATGCTCTGGATCGATGTGTACGACAGCGTGTTCCAGTTCCTGCCAATATCCAGCAACTTCGCATAGCCATTGAAGAGGAGAGGGACAAGATTTCACAGGCCACAATCAACAGCCTGATCAACTCTGCGAAGGAGATGTGTCGCGCTGCATGAGGCAAATGGTGGTCACACCAGATACTGACTGGTTTTCTGATCCACGGCCCTACTTTTTTTTTTTAAGGTATCTGTGACCAACAGACGCATATCTGTATTCTCAGTCATGTGAAATCTATAGATTAAGGCCTAATTAATTTATTTCAATTGACTGATTTCCTTATATGAACTGTAACTCAGTAAAATCTTTGAAATTGTTGCATGTTGCGTTTATATTTGCAAATAGTTGCTGCCCATACTTCTATTGGAATCCTCTGCATTTCCACCTCTCTCACCCTTGCTCTCAGACCCAGGAGGAGTTGGGTCCTCTGCCTGGAACTGAGCAGCTCTGGAACCATCTCTGTCACCAAAGTTACAAACTCCTCCAGTTTCCCATAATGCTTTACAAGATGCTGCTGAGCCACTTGCCACAAGAATGCTGACATCAGGCGTAGTGGTGGAGCAAGGAGACGCAGGGAGGAGAGAGTTAAATGGGGACCTACAGTGGGAAACACAAACAAGAAAATAAGTTTAAACCTAAAATATTGTATAGGTTAGATCTAAAATGTATTTAGCTAGGGTTTGGGATACTAGCCAGCTTCAGCGAATATTTATGAAGCCAGCCACCATTTTAAAAGCACTCACACAAACAACATATCGGGCCAAGTTACCATTTTGAAAATGTATAGTACAGCTTCATTTACCAGAGTCTTCTGCCTCTGGCAAGGACTTAAGCTGAGTCGACTCCAAAAGCATTGAAGTTCTTGTTCGCTGACTGAGAACAGCATCCATGATAGCAAAACCATCTTCTTCCACTAATGTTGGAACTATTTTTGCTAGTGTGGTTCTTGATTTTTTTGTATTCCTGTTTCAGCTTTTTTATTTTCTCTCTGCACTGTTTAGAGGTCTTCGTAGATCCGAGGGCAGCGAGCTCAGAACTCAGTTTGGTAAAGACTCTCTTGTTTCTCACTGCGGAGAGAAGCTGCTCCTGAACACTCCCATCTGCCCAGAGTGTTAACAACGCATGGACCTCCTCAGGTGACCAGATGGCTCGAGATTCATCTGTGAATGCACCAGATCAGCTAAAAGCACTTACAAACTGGCAAACAATGTTAGCTAGCAAGTTTATACCGTTTTCCAGAAAGGTGTACTATACTGAACAAAAATAAACGAAACATGCAACAATTTCAAAGATTTTACTGAGTTACAGGTCATATGAGAAAATCAGTCAATTTAAATGAATTCACTAGGCCCTAATCTATAGATTTCACATGAATGGGAATACAGATATGGATCTGTTAGTCACAGATACCTTAAGAAAAAATTGGCCTCAGGATCTCGTTGCGGTATTTTTGTGCATTCAAATTTCTATCGATAAAATGCAATTGTGTTTGTTGTCCGTAGCTTATGCCTGCCCATACCATAACCCCACCGCCACCATGGGACACTCTGTTCACAACGTTGACATCAGCAAACCGCTCAACCACAGGACGCCATACACATGGTCTGCGGTTGTGAGGCCGGTTGGATGTACTGCCAAATTCTCTAAAACGACATTGGAGGCGGCTTATGGTAGAGAAATTAACATTACATTATCTGGCAACAGCTCTGGTGGACATTCCTGCAGTCAGCATGCCAATTGTGCGCTCCCTCAAAACTTAAGACATCTGTGGCATTGTTTTGTGTTACAAAACTTCACATTTTAGTGGCCTTTTATTGTCCCCAGCACAAGGTGCACCTGTGTAATGATCATGCTGTTTAATCAGCTTCTTGATATGCCACACCTGTCAGGTGGATGGATTATCTTGGCAAAGGAGAAATGCACACTAACAGGGATGTAAACAAATTTGTGCACAACATTTGAGAGAAATAAGCTTTTTGTGCATATGGAAAACTACTGGGATCTTTTATTTCAGCTCATGAAACATGGGACCAACACTTTACATGTTGCGTTTATATTTTTGTTCAGTGTAGATAAGTGTTTCTCAACTTCTGACAATTTTACTGTCTGGTCCCTCAGATGGTTAGCAGACATTGAGTCCTTTAAAAAGGTTCAGAAAGACTACTAGATAACTTACCATTATGTTCTGCTTCTAGAGGGGAATCAGTCAACTCCAACCGCATAGCAGGTGAATTTATCATAGCAGCTGAGGTTCCTAGTCGGTGACCAAGGAAACCATGGACCTCATCAGATGTCAAACTGGATGGAGATTTGTCTGGGGAAGCAACAGATCAGTTGACAAACAATATTAACTTCCGAGCTTCCAGTCGCAGGCCAAGTTAGTGTTTTAAAAATGTGCACTAGTGTTGATGCTGTACTAGACAGCTTAACTTACAAGAATCTTCAACTTCTTGTGGTGAATCAGGTTGAGTTGACTCCAAAGTCTTTCCATCTGAATCTATTACCAAAGTACTTGGTTGGTGACAGAGGACACTATCCATGATGGCAAACCATCTTTCTCTACGGCGGTTGTAGCTCCTCTTCTTCTTGTCGTCCTTGATTTTATGATACTCTTGTTTCAGCTTTTTTATTTTCTCTCTGCACCTCTTTGACGACCTGTTAAACCCCAGGGAAGCGAGCTCTGAACTAAGTTTGGTAAAGACTCTCTCGTTTCTCACTGCTGAGAGAAGCTGCTCCTGAACACTCCTGTCTGCCCAGAGTGTTAACAATGCATGGACCTCCTCAGGCGTCCAGCGGAATGGAGACTCATCTGTGAATGCACCAGATTAGTTGAAAGACACTAGTAAACACAGATAAAATGTTATCCAGTAAGGTCGTAGGCCATTTAGGCTTACTAAAAATGTAATGGATCAGTCTTTCACAGCTTACCATAATCTTCTGCTTTTTGAGGGGAATCAGCCAACTCCAGCAGCCTAGAAGCTGAATTTATCCCCCCAGACCCTGAAGTTCCTGAACGGTGACTAAAGAGACCATGGACCTCATCAGGCATCCAACTGGATGGAGACTTGTCTGTGGAAGCACCAGACAACATGAGTACTCACAAAAACAGGGACACAATAACTAGCAAAGCTTGTGTAACATGGCATGTGAGCTTTGTACTGTACTGCCTCTGCCCAGAGGCCTGGGCTTAGCCTATGTGGCACAAAGCTGCTTCATTCCCACCGCTGCTACCAATGTAGCAGGAAAGAAGAATGAACTGCATCATGGCTTTTACAGTGCAGATGTGAGCACCTAACAGACTGTGCCACAAAAGCCTGGGCCTCTGGTCAGAGCTGTATATTGCTCTATACGCCGTGTTAGCCTACACTTGCAAGTAGCTTTAGCTATGGAAACACCATTCACCATTTCCTAATGTTACTTAGCTAATAACACTGGGAAACCAGTGGAGGCTGGTGGGAGGAGTAATGGTTGGAATGGAATAAACGGAACGGCATCAAACATATGGAAATCACGTTTGACTCCGTTCCATTAAATCCAATCCAGCTATTCCAATCAGCCCGTCCTCCTATAACTCCTCCCACCAGCCTCCACTGTGGGAACCGCATGGAAAGTCACATCGTGTCAGCATGATGAAAAATAGGCCATGGCCCAATACTTTGTTGCCTGGCCTCCAGGGGTGGAAATACAGGCCAAGAGCCAGTGTAAACCAATGATTTATATATACACTAGATCACTGATAGTGGGCGCTGTGTTGAAGCCACCGTGCCTCCATCTTGGCACTCCTCCACGTTGTAATTTTTTTTTTTTTGGAAGCTATAGAAATGCATTTAATAATGTCTACATTCGTTTTTGCCACATTTATTTTATTACAGACACCTTAATGCATACTTTTAAATTATATTATGCACTGAACATAAAATAAAAACATTTTCTTTAAAGTATATATTACTAATGTTACTGTCCACTAGAACACAAAAATACTTAAATACATGTAATTCTGTCCTTTAAACATTTCATTGAAATACTGTAAAATTTCCATTCAATCCTATGGAGGACTGCTCCTACTGGGGAGTGCCAATATGGCCGACCGGTGGCTTCAAAGCCTCTTATTGGCCAATACGTAGCATCAGCAATCCAGGGTTTATATACATTATTGTGTAAAACCCAACATTGGAAAAGGGACATTAGTCTAAATTACCGGGACCTTCCTCCTCTGGTGGGGAATCAGGCTTGGACTCCAAAATATTTGGAGAATGTATTACCAACCCAGACTCCAATAAGGTACTTCTTGGTTGATGACCGAGGACACTATCCATGATGGCAAACCATCTTCCATGACAGGCGGCGGCATTCTTGTTTTTTTTGTCTTTGATTTTTTTGTATTCCTGTTTCAGCTTTTTTATTTTCCACCTGCACTGTGTCGATGTTTTGATAAAGCCTAGGGCAGCAAGCTCTGAACTCAGTTTGGTAAAGACTCTCTCGTTTCTCACTGCGGAGAGAAGCTGCTCTTGAACACTCCCGTCTGCCCAGCGTGTTAACAATGCCACTATCTCCTCAGGTGTCCATTGACATGCGCCGGACAGAGATTTTTTGTTTTCCATGGTTATTTATTTGCTATTTGTAGAAGTTTATAGAATACCCTTTTCACAATATTCTGCCTAGCACGGCTCGGTTCGTTAAAAGCAAAGATGTTTCACTAAACCAAGATACACCACAGCCTGTCGTTTCAAATGGGAACAAATGAGCCATAGTGGGCAGAACAAGCAATGAGGGAGACAGAGCCAAGCAGGAGCTAGCGTGATCCTATTTGCCAAAACCCATCTCGTTCCATCTTCTCCCACGGCTAGCCATTGGGGTTCCTCTCAAATATGGTAGTGAGTGGAAACGCCAACCGGATGCGTCATATCTATACATCCGGTGAAATATCTGTCTCATTGTTCTATCTGTGATAAAAGTGGACCGCGATAGCCTCCCTATTGAAGCCTCCTGGTCAGCAACAACGAATCACAAATCACTTCCGGGTCACGTTGTTTTTCTCAAATCCTTCAAAATAAGAGTATTCTCACAGATGAAAGGGATTAGATATCAATCTCTTTGGTATTCCCAATTATCTTGGTTACAGCAAAAAAGTTAAAGGTCCAATGCAGCCATTTTTATGTCAATAAAAAAATCATTTCTGCGTAACAATTAAGCACCTTACTGTGATAGTTTAATTAAAATGGTCAAAAAGAAACAAAAATAGCGTCTTATAAAAAAAAAAGGGGTAAACTAGCTGTTATTGGCATAGAGGTTTGGAACCCTTTTTATTGGTCTATTAACTAATTTAGCACCTGGTGGTGTCACCAGGCAGGCCAAAACTCCATCCCACCAAAACAGGCTGAAATTTCATGCAGCTTTTTCAAACAGGTCTTAAACTGAAAGGGCATTATCATTTTCACAGGATTATTCCAACCTCATAGTGTGGATATATACATATATACACAGTACCAGTCAAAAGTTTGGACACACCTACTTATTCAAGGATTTTTCTTTATTTTTACTATTTTCTACATTGTAGAATAATAGTGAGGACATCAAAACTATGAAATAACACATATGGAATCAAGTAGTAATCAAAACAGTGTTAAACAAATCAAAATATATGTTATATTTGAGATTCTTCAAAGTAGCCACCCGTTGCCTTGATGACAGCTTTGCACACTCTTGGCATTCTCTCAACCAGCTTCATGAGGAATGCTTTTCCAACAGTCTTGAAGGAGTTCCCACATATGCTGAGCACTTGTTGGCTGCTTTTCCTTCACTCTGCGGTCCAACTCATCCCAAACCATTGGGTTGAGGTCGGGGGATTGTGCAGGCCAGGTCATCTGATGCAGCACTCCATCACTCTCCTAGGTCAAATAGCCCTTACACAGCCTGGAGGTGTGTTTTGGGTCCTGTTGAAAAACAAATGATAGTCCCATTAAGCGCAAACCAGATTGGATGGCGTATCGCTGCAGAATGCTGTGGTAGCCATGCTGGTTAAGTGTGCCTTGAATTCTAAATAAATCACAGACAGTGTCACCAGCAAAGCACCATCACACCTCCTCCTCCATGCTTCACGTTGGGAACCACACATGCGGAGATCATCCGTTCACCTACTCTGCGTCTCACAAAGACACGGCAGTTGGAACCAAAAATCAGACCAAAGGACATATTTCCACCGATCTAATGTCCATTGCTCATGTTTCTTTGCCCAAGCAAGTCTCTTCTTCTTATTGGTGTCCTTTAGTAGTGGTTTCTTTGCAGCAATTCGACCATGAAGGCCTGATTCACACAGTCTCCTCTGAACAGTTGATGTTGAGATGTGTCTGTTACTTGAAGTCTGTGAAGCATTTATTTGGGCTGCAATCTGAGGTGCAGTTAACTCTAATGAATTTATCCTCTGCAGCAGAGGTAACTCTGGGTCTTCCTTTCCTGTGGCGGTCCTCATGAGAGCCAGTTTCATCATAGCTCTTGATGGTTTTTACGACTGCACTTGAAGAAACTTTCAAAGTTCGTGAAATCTTTCCGGATTGACAGACCTTTGTGTCTTAAAGTAATGATGGACTGTCATTTCTCTTTGCTTATTTGAGCTGTTCTTGCCATAATATGGACTCGGTCTTTTACCAAATAGGGCTATCTTCTGTATACCACCCCTACCTTGTCACAACACAACTGATTGGCTGAAACGCATTAAAAAGGAAAGAAATTCCACAAATTAACTTTTAACAATGTACACCTGTTAACTGAAATGCATTCCAGGTGACTACCTCATGAAGCTGGTTGAGAGAATGCCAAGAGTGTGCAAAGCTGTCATCAAGGCAAAGGGTGGCTACTTTGAAGAAACTCAAATATATAATGTGTTACATCCCTGTTAGTGAGCATTTCACCTTTGCCAAGATAATCCATCCACCTGACAGGTGAGGCATATCAAGAAGCTGATTAAACAGCATGATCATTACACAGCTGCACCTTGTGCTGGGGACAATAAAAGGCCACTCTAAAATGGGCAGTTGTGTCACACAACGCAATGCCACAGATGTCTCAAGTTTTGAGGGAGCGTGCAATTGGCATGCTGACCGCTGATCACGGTTTTAAAAAATGTAGGACTGAGAACTATGGTGAGCTAAAGGAAAACACCTACCCAATGCGCCAGGCTCTGGCATGCAGAGAAGGGAGCATTACCAATGATACACAGCGTTGAATTCAATGTCAAATCTAAAGCGCCTCAAACAGCAGCATGGCTCAGTGCTGCTCCCTGTGTCATGGAGGAATGTGGACACGCCATCTTTGACCCTGAAGAGTTGAGGACGCTTCTGCAGCACCATCAGCATCATGGAAACCTGAAAAAGAGTAAGTCTCCATCCAGAATTATATATTTGATACTAAGTATGTTAAATTCTTTTTCTGGTAAGTAGTGGAAGAAAATGTATGGCAAGAGTGTAACTTATTGGATCAATATGTTCTCTCTTTCCTAGGTTATTTTTCTTACTACACTGCAGATACCATCCTGTCCCTCCAACAATAAGAGTTGTCATTAGCTCTGAGCAGGTCAGCTCTGACAAAATGAGGTCATACTCAGATGGAGATACATGCTTCAAGAATGGGACAGAGAGAGCAGGAGATGGAGAAGAGAGAGAAGGACCATCTAATGGAGGCAGAGAGGAGGAGGAGGAGGAGGAGGAGGAGGAAGAGGAAGAAGATATGCAGACCGAAGAAGACTGGGAAAATGAAGACTTTATTTTACAGCCCTATTATCACTGTTATTTAAAATAAAATTTCTTCGTAACAATTGGTACCTCATCGTAATTAGCAACTTGGAAATTAACAGAATCAGTAAATTCTTGATAACAATTGGTACATTCTTGTGTCCTTTGCCAAATGACTGATAACATCATAATGCTTATCTTTTTTATGTACTTTGTAAGTAAATACCTGGTAATCAGCAAGTTGTTAAAAGTAGTGTTACTCAAAATTGTTTCTCAAATGGTAATTCGTTCATCTCGGCAGAACATCACTTAAGCAATCTGTCCTCCTAATTTTGTCATTGCAGGTTTGAATAGTGACATGGCATCCCAGGTCCTTGCCTGCTCCCTCCGCCCATTCTCTCATATTATGGCAAAACTCCACCAACACATCAGGATTAGGCATCGAGGAGAGTACAGGAAGCTTCTACGCTCTAAAGAATCTGGGACTGAAAAGCATCTTTCCTCAAGCAGCACAAAACTCCACCAGTGTATCAGCACTAGGCACCAAAGGAAGCATCTCAACTCTAAAGAATCTGGGACTTTAATTCCCGTCCCACACGCAGCACAAAACTATTTCACCATCACATCAGGACTAGGTACCAAGGGGATGAACAGAAGCGTCAACACTGAAGAATCTGGGACGGAAAACCTTCCCTCAAGCACAAAAATTATCCCCTATAGAACCGATAACAAGACAATAAGCTGCCCTCATTGTGGGAATGTTTACCAAAACCACAACTCCCTGGAAAAACATAAGAATTCACACATTGTGATGTTATTGCGGGTGTAGCGAAATGCTTGTGCTGGTACTGTACATAAATGGACGAGCGATGTCAGAGCGGCATGGACTAAGATACAGTAGAATAGTATAGAATACAGTATATACATATGAGATGAGTAATGCAAGATCTGTAAACATTATTAAGTGACTAAGATACCGTAGAATAGTATAGAATACAGTATATACATATGAGATGAGTAATGCAAGATATTTAAACATTATTAAAGTGGCTAGTGTTCCATTTATTAAAGTGGCCAGTGATTTATAGTCTATGTGGGGACTATAAATCACTGTATAGGCAGCAGCCTCTAATGTGCAAGTGATGGCTGTTTAACAGTCTGATGGCCTTGAGATAGAAGCTCGGTCCCAGCTTTGATGCACCTGTACTGACCTCGCCTTCTGGATGATAGCGGGGTGAACAGGCAGTGGCTCGGGTGGTTGATGTCCTTGATGATCTTTTTGGCCTCCCTGTGACATCGGGTGATGTAGGTGTCCTGGAGGGTGGGTAGTTTGCCCCCTGGTAATGCGTTGTGCAGACCGCATCACCCTCTGGAGAGCCTTGCGGTTGTGGGCGGTGCAGTTGCCGTACCAGGCGGTGATACAGCCCGACAGGATGCTCTCAATTGTGCATCTGTAAAAGTTTGTGAGGGTTTTAGGTGCCAAGCCAAATTTATTTAGCCTCCTGAGGTTGAAGAGGCTCTGTTGCGCCTTCTTCACCAGTGTGGGTGGTCCATTTTAGTTTGTCAGTGATGTGTACGCCAAGGAACCTGAAGCTTTCCACCTTCTCCACTGCGGTCCCATCGATGTGGATATGGGGGTGCACCCTCTGCTGTTTCCTGAAGTCCACGTTCATCTGTGAACATTGCGGAATGGGTTTCAAAGCAGCATGCCATTTTCAGATTCATATACGAAGATGTCCATAACCCTGCACACGAAACGCTTTGTCTTCTCAGGGAACTTAAAAGACATGTTAACTCACATGGGTGAGAAACCTCACCAGTGCTCCAAGTGTGGGAGGAGATTTTCTTTAAAGGAAACTCTGAAAACGCATCTT